ATAAACCGAAATAAATTTTTACGAAATTATTATTTATTAATATTTTTTCGCCATATTGAATTGTGGAGATTTTATACCTGGAAATTAAGGCCGAAAATTAAGATTAAAAATTATTTTTAGAAGTTTGAGACCGTTCAGGTTATTAAAAGTCGTAGGGTTTTGATCAATTAATACTATAAGAGAAAAATTCCTCTTGTTCTTTTCAAACCTGTATTAAATTTTGCATCAAAGTCGTATATGATCTAACTTACAGTTTTTCATCAGAAGAGATGTTTAAAAATAGCCGTGACAGCGCTAACAACCGAAAAGGTTCATTAAGTAGAAGTGAATACTGATTATTAAAAAGCGGCCTGCCTGTTCTCCCGTTAATCGGGAAAATTAAATTTGGTTTGATTAAATTTTCTTTATATTTTAGTTGAGATAATTACGTTTATAAATATGTTTGAAAATAATTATAGCGAATATGAATTTTTATCAAATTCCGAAATAGAGCTGGAATAAAATGTTAGTTATCTGCTCAAGTGGCGTAAGTTTCAAGAACAGAAATAATTTGAATAGAGCATTTTAATCTTAGCCTAGATTAAAGAAACTAATTTTTCATCAACAAATTGGAGACACAACTGCTTTAAACCCATATTTAAATATACATGTGTCAATTTATGTTTTTCGTTTGAAGATTTATCCTGAACATAGAGAGTGGCACTGAACACCAGGATCAAATTGTATCCCATTATATCTACCACTGATCGCAACGTGAACAACATTTAATGCATACAATAAAGGTGCAGAAAAAATAACGTGTAGTAAAATGTCTTGAAAATTTTGCAATTTGAGACCACTGATGGCAACGTAAACAGCATTTAATGCATTCAATAAAGGTGCAGAAAAAATAACGTGCAGTAAAATGTCTTGAAAATTTTTCCATTTGAGAAATGTTACTGAATTTTATGTTAGTCTTGCGATGCTTTCCTGCGATCATTCGAATTTTATTGATTTTAAAATTAATTTAAAATTAATAAAATGGTGCAAAAAATAGTCACCTAGCTGATCGATTAAATTCCGAAGAGAATTTTCATAGTTTTTAACAAGGAATGTCCCTGGCACAAGGCTTTATAGAAACTTTATATGCTTTATAGAAAATTTTATTATGAAGTCAATATGATAAAATTCCGAAGAGAAATAAATATTCAGGCTTGTTAGATTGGCAAGAAAAAAGAAACGAGACCGTACGGGACATATTCCCTATAGGGAATTATTTTAAATATAATTCCAAATATTTTAAATATAATTCCAATAATTTCAAATATAATTCCAAATATTTTAAATATAATTCCAAATATTTTAAATATAATTTAAATTATTTTAAATATAATTCCAATTATTTTAAATATAATTCCAATTATTTCAAATATAATTTCAATTCTTTTCATATTTATTCCATAAGGTTGCTATAGCAACCTTCCCAAGCAAAAAAAATTGTGTGTGTAAAATTTCATTTATCTTATTATGGAATATATATGAAAATAATTGAAATTATATTTGAAATATTTGGAATTATTATTTAAATAATTGGAATTATATTTAAAATAATTGTAAATATTTTCAAAATAATTCTGTCAATTATCTATTCGTAATTTTCACGTCATTTTCAATCTATATACCTTGTTTTGTTATGCAGTGTTGAGGGAGTAGTTTATATCGATATTTTTATGGTCTATTTTGAATCGATATTTAAAAAAAAAACGAAGGAACAGACAAAAAGAGGTTTAGTTAGTGAAGAGAAACTTAGAACTAGGGACAGTGTGGCGTGAGAGCACATAAAATAAAATACTGTATTAAGAAGAATATCTGGAAATAATACAATAAAACTCATATTAACACAGTAGAAAAATAACAAACATGCGGGAACTGACATGATTTCCTGGCAACTTTTCTTAGATTCAGTGCAAATCGGTGCGTATCGTCTCAGTTTATCATAATTAAATCAAAACTTTAGTTCTGATGTATAAGTTTTGATTTAGAACTATGATGATAGTTCTACTATCATCATAGATAGAACTATCATCAGAACTAGATTAGAACTATCATCAGAACTATGATGATAGTTCTGATGTATAAATAGCTTTTTCGCAAGTGAAGTTCATGCGATTCACTCAATAATATTCTAAAGATTCAACAAAATATTTATTATTTTATGATTCAGAAGATTTTTTTTTTTCGTCAGCCCGTCGAGATGAAGTTGCTTTTAGTCAGCGCCATCGCAGCGTTGCTGACATCGTCAGCCAACGCCTTTTTTTGGCCGTGCCCTGCCATAACGGCTGACAGCACCACCTCTCCCAACGTCACCTTGGCTAACGAAGAGGTGGGTTATAATGATAATAAGTTTAATGCAGTTATAGAGTTTACGATATGACATCCATGTGATCTACGACAGTGCATTAAACTTTTCAAGACAAATATTGCAGGGCTTTAAGACATGAAATTTAATGAAATGAATTATTTTTAGACACGACAAACCTAAAGTTCTATGATATGGTATATTTAGCACATGGTGTTCAGTGTTTCGATATGGTGTTACTTTTAGGACATTGCGTTAAGTTATTGGACACGGTGTTAGGTTATAGCACATGGTGTTAAATTTAAAGACATGGTTTTAAGTTATATGACATGGTGTTGATTTTTAAGACATGGTATTAAATTTTAAGACATGGTGTTAAGTTATAAGACGTGATGTTAAATTTTAAGACATGGTGTTAATTTATAGGACATGGTGTTAAATTTTACGACAGGGTGTTAAGTTATAGGACGTGGTGTTAAATTTTAAAACTTTTTTTAAGTTATATGATGTGGTGTTAAATTTTAAGGCATGGTGTTAAGTTATAGGACGTGCATGGTGTTAAATTTTAAGACATGGTGTTAAGTTATAGGACATGGTGTTAAATTTTAAGACATGGTGTTAAATTATAGGACATGGCGTTGAATTTTATGACATGGTGTTAAGTTATAGGACATGGCGTTAAATTTTAGGACGTGGTGTCCAGTTTTATGACATGGTGCTCCGTTTAAGGACGTGGTGGCAGTTATTACAACAGAAAAAAAAGTATTATACTGTATTTAATACGATGTTCAACGATTTATCTGAGCGTCTTTGTTTGACGATGTGACATTCAATGAAGACTTTATTTAACTTCGGTGCTGCACTACACGACACCAAAACTATAACCGATTGAATTCACAGCTCTGTGACACATGACGTTCACTACCTACCCTATACTTACCCTATACTTACCTTATACTTACCTTATACTTACTGACCCTATATTTAATATTACACAACCTATGATTCCGTGAAATTGCATTCGATGTTTTGCACTATTTTTGAAAAAATTGTCAATATGGACTTTAAAGTTTCGTGACCCACAGCAAACATGTTTTGAATGTACGAGTAACATGTCATGTGCACATAACATGTATGTGCACGAAGTTTCTACGCTTTTTCTACATTTTCTGTTTAGTACAACGCAACAGAGATGTTCTTAAACAATTTCTATCACTCAGAAAAAATTATCTGTTATTTTTAAATGAATACCTATCCGGTAAGTTTTTCACCAAGTTTTTCGTGACTTAATGAGTTGCCTAATTTTCGCTGGTTTTGCGAACCGATCAATGAATGTTGGTCTAGTACGTTGAAAAACCGCCTACTAAGATCCACTCTTTATTATTTTCTTGCAGATCATGTCTCTTTTCCCGGCGAACGTGTACCTGAAATCCGGATCTGCGGAAGACAACACGTATTCCTGACAGTCTCTTGCATCTCTGCCACTGCCTGTTAGTCTCTTGCAACTCTGCCACTGCTTGCCAGTCTCTTGCATCTCTGCCACTGCCTGTTAGTCTCTTGCATCTCTGCCACTGCCTGTTAGTCTCTTGCATCTCTGCCACTGCCTGTTAGTCTCTTGCAGCTCTGCCAATACTTCCCACTTGAACGCAACACTGTCTAATTTTAACAAATCTTAATAATAGAAGAAGTAAAGTTTCGAAAACTCGAAAATCAAAATTTTTTAAAGCCCTTGCATTTCAGGCGGAAATCTTGTCTATTTATATTGTAAGTTTACCCTTTACATTTCCAGTAACCCGCTGAGATTGACCTGAAATCATAGAGATAATTTCTAAATGCGATATAAATTTTTTGCTGTGAACTCTTATTTTATTCGTATTTTATTCGTATTTTTTCCTATTTTAATCATATTTTTTGTATTTTATTCGTATTATAATCATATTTATTCTTATTTTATTCGTATTTTATTCATATTTTCTTCGTATTGGCAAAGAAATGGTCCAAAAACGTTTAGGATGCTCTTTGTCACTTCGTAAACCATGCCTATAAGAAATATGTCGATGATATGAATTTATAACTTGTACAACATCCCGTATTCCATACTCAGTTTGATCAACAAATATTCTATTCACTTGCTATATTTCCTAAATAAATATTTGTGTAGTGATTCTTATGTTAGCAATGCCGTAATAATATAATTTTTCATAATCGAAATGATGTTCTCATCCTGTCTTGCAAAGCTCTCACTAACATCCTCGTTCGCTCTTGATTTCATTGACAGCATCGTGTTATTTTGATATTACTGACATCATCGTTCTCTCGTTATTTCAACATCATAATTCACTCTCACTGACAACACCATTCCATCGGGATCTCATTGACAACATCATTATATCTTGATAGTACTGACATCATCGTTCATTCTTGGTCTCAGTGACAACACTATTCCCTCTCCATCTCACTGATACCCTCATTCTCTCTTGGCCTCACTGACATTCTTCTTAACTCTCGATCTCACTGACATCATCGTTCATTCTTGGTCTCAGTGACAACATTATTCCCTCTCGATCTCACTGACACTCTCATTCTCTCTTATTCTCACTGACATTCTTCTCAACTCTCGATCTCACTCACTAACATCATATTATCGTTGTCTTTCTGACAGCGGCGTGGAGAAAACTAATCAGGGCACCTACGCGCTGGCAAATAAGTCTCCATTTGGCATCACATTCACTGGCCTCCCCAACAAAAGTCAGTTCAATGCTCGTATATTTATAGTAGAGAGTCTCGTATATTTTTTAGTCTCTTCTAGTTTCTCGGTAGATGTTCTAGTGTCTCAGAATATGTTCTAGTGTCTCCTATATGTTCTAGTGTCTCAGTATATGTTCGAGTGTCTCAGTATATGTTCGAGTGTCTCAGTATATGTTCTAGTGTCTTAGTATATGTTCTAGTATATCAGTATATGTTCTAGTGTCTCAGTATATGTTCTAGTGTATCAGTATATGTTCTAGTGTCTCAGTATATGTTCTAGTGTCTCAGGATATGTTCTAGTATATCAGTATATGTTCGAGTGTCTCAGTATATGTTCGAGTGTCTCAGTATATGTTCTAGTGTCTTAGTATATGTTCTAGTATATCAGTATATGTTATAGTGTCTCAGTATATGTTCTAGTGTATCAGTATATGTTCTAGGGTCTCAGGATATGTTCTAGTGTCTCAGGATATGTTCTAGTGTCTCAGTATATGTTCTAGTGTCTCAGTATATGTTCTAGTGTCTCGTATATGTTCTAGTGTCTCAGTATATGTTGTAGTGTCTCGTATATGTTCTAGTGTCTCAGTATATGTTTTAGTGTCTCAGAATATGTTCTTGTGTCTCAGTATATGTTCTAGTGTCTCCTTATATGTTCTAGTGTCTCAGTATATGTTCTAGTGTCTCAGAATATGTTCTAGTGTCTCAGTATATGTTCTAGTGTCTCAGAATATGTTCTAGTGTCTCAGAATATGTTCTTGTGTCTCAGTATATGTACTAGTGTCTCAGTATATGTTCTAGTATCTCAGTATGTGTTTTAGTGTCTCAGTATATGTTCTAGTGTCTCAGTATGTGTTCTAGTGTCTCAGTATATGTTCTAGTGTCTCAGTGTATGTTCTAGTGTCTCAGTATATGTTCTAGTGTCTCAGTATATGTTCTAGTGTCTCAGTGTGTGTTCTAGTGTCACAGTATTTGTTCTAGTGTCTCAGTATATGTTCTAGTGTCTCAGTATATGTTCTAGTGTCTCAGTATATGTTCTAGTGTCTCAGTATATGTTCCAGTATCTCAGTATTTGTTCTAGTGTCTCAGTATATGTTCTAGCGTCTCAGTATATGTTCGAGTGTCTCAGTAAATGTTATTGTGTCTTAGTATATGTTCTAGTGTCTCAGTATATGTTCTAGTGTCTCAGTATATGTTCTAGTGTCTCCTATATGTTTTAGTGTCTCAGTATATGTTCTAGTGTCTCAGTATATGTTCTAGTGTCTCGTATATGTTCTAGTGTCTCAGTATAAGTTCTAGTGTCTCATTATATGTTCTAGTGTCTCAGTATATGTTCGAGTGTCTCAGTATATGTTATAGTGTCTCAGTATATGTTCTAGTGTCTCAGCATATGTTCTAGTGTATAGGTATATGTTCTAGTGTCTCGGAATATGTTCTAGTGTCTCAGGATATGTTCTAGTGTCTCAGTATATGTCCTAGTGTCTCAGAATATGTTCTAGTGTCTCAGGATATGTTCTGGTGTATAGGTATATGTTGTAGTGTCTCGTATATGTTCTAGTGTCTCAGTATATGTTGTAGTGTCTCGTATATGTTCTAGTGTCTCAGTATATGTTTTAGTGTCTCAGAATATGTTCTTGTGTCTCAGTATATGTTCTAGTGTCTCCTTATATGTTCTAGTGTCTCAGAGTGTCTCAGTATGTGTTCTAGTGTCTCAGTATATGTTCTAGTGTCTCAGTATGTGTTCTAGTGTCTCAGTATGTGTTCTAGTGTCTCAGTATATGTTCATGATTCTGTTTTTGTTATGGAGTAAACATATCATTGATATGTTACGTTTACGGCGTTTAAATTCATGCCCTTGTTAACCATAAAAATATGAACAAAATATATTTTTTCAACATTCAGGATTATTTTTTATTGGAAACATTATCAGCGATAAATGCTATATATCTCGATGGAGACATATTTACTCTCTTGGCTATGAACTTTCTTTCTTTCTTCTTATTTAAAAGAGACTGATTACAAATTTTGGCTGGAACGTCTACATGCTCTTTATATTAGTTGTTTAGTTCTTAATGTTAGTATCTTAATATTTCGTTGCAGTGTTCGGCGCAGACTCAGGCACCAAGTCTCTAGCGTACGTGAGCAAGGGAACTAACTATGGCATCTTCAGGAGCTGTCAAGGCGGATTCCTCAACTTCGGCTACACGAGTGCGTCTTATTCATATTTACTGAACCTTTTTTCACCGTCTCAGAATATTATTGTAACAGTGTCCATTATCACACTTCTTTCAGTAATTGTTTCTAAAATCTACGAAATTTCAGCATAGTATTGTGTCATTGTATATTCTATACACTTCATTAAGGTCTATACCTTTGGTCTATTATATTTGGTCTATTCCTTCCTTTGGTCTTTTCTAAAAGACAAGTTGATATTTTAAAGTTTGATTGAATTTTCTGAATACTTCAATGATTAGAAGTAATGGTGAGCACGTAACAGGCTTCAAAATGCATCTGTTCAGATCTACCATTTACTCTACCTTCTCAGACCATGGCTATATATTCACTCTACTCCTCCTAACTTCGTCTGTATGTCCACTATACTCCTCAGACCATGGCTATATATTCACTCTACTCCTCAGACCATGGCTATATATTCACTATACCATCCATGGGCACTGGCAGAGTTCATGTTTATTTTATCTGCCATACTACGGCTAAATGTTCACATTTCTCATCTAGATTTTGGCTACCTATTCATTTTACTCCCCCATGTAATGGTTACGTATTCATTTCCCTCCCCAACATTACGGCTATCTATTCATTCCCCTCTCCCAGACTATGGCTACCGATTCATTTCCCTCTCCCAGACAATGGCTACATATTACTTTTCTTCGCCCAGACTATGGCTCCCCATCCATTTTCCTCGCCCAGATAATGGCTACCTATTAATTTCTCTCTCCCAGACTATGGCTATTCATTTTCTTCTCCCAGATAATGGTTACTTATTTATTTCCCTCCCCCAGACTATGCTATATCTATTTATTTCCCTCCCCCAAACTATGGCTACCTATCAATTTCCCTCCCCCAGACTATGGCTACCTATTTATTTCCCTCCCCCAGACTATGCCTACCTATTTATTTCCCTCCCCCAGACTATGCCTACCTATTTATTTCCCTCCCCCAGACTATGCCTACTTGTTCACAACCTCAAGCTTCGATTCGACTGACCTGGACTGGCGCTGCATGGCTACAGGCTTCAAGACGGTAGTGCCAGCCATCGGCGGGGGGACAGTGTACCCAGGAGGGATTTGTTCTTCCGGAGGTGGTCATGGTGGAGGGCGTATCTCATACTGAGCGTTCATCTTCAGCGTCCGCCCCTCAAACTGTCCTTATGAATCTAATCCTACATAATTGAATGAAGTTGATCAGTTTATCAGAAATTATCAGAAATTTATATTTATAATCTGGATGTTAGACAGAATGTGCCTTGGGGTTTATGCGTTCAAAATCATTCAAATTGTTCCAAGACTGTATCGCTTTCGGGCATAAACAGTTCGCTTAAAATGAGTGAAATTGAATATAGATGAACAACTTTTTACAAGTATTTTGATTGAATATCCCTTTTGAATTTAGATCAATTTAAATGAAATCGAAAGACTGGGCTCTTTCCTCAAAATTAATGATCGCTAGAACACAGACAGCAAATTTGTTTCATAACTCACGCTTCCTTACCATGCAGCCCATGACGATAGAATTTTTAATCTCGAAACTTACCCACAAGGATTCTTATGTAGTTATCTTTCAGGAATGCTTTCAGGAATGAAGTTGATTATTTAATGAAATAAAATATTGCGAAAGAGACGATTGGCTTCTGAGGTGTGACCGGACGTTTCAAACGTCAAAGATGGCCACCACAAAAAAGGCGGAACGTCAGTCACGAACGTATAATCTCTAGGTAGTTTTCTTAGAACCATCGGTGTAACAAAACACAGTTTTTCCAGTCAACACTGCGATTTGAAACACTTTTATTGACACAAACTAGGGTAAAATGTATTTGTGAAATCATGAACTTAACAGGTATAGTTTAAAACAAAGAGAAAGCAGGTGGTTCGTACATTCAGTCGTGTAAGGAAGAGGGTACACTGCGGAAACAAGAGCAGAAACCGTATCAGCACAACGTCTAGTCAGTAGCTGCCACAATATTAGCCCTATTGAGCAAATAACTGTTGCTGAACGGCATAACTGTTGCTGAATAACTGTTGCTGAACGGCATAACTGTTGCTGAACGGCTTCCTTAGTGACAAACTCAACCGCCCTCGACACTTCTCTCTGAAGCAGAGAAGGTCGGAAGTTTATGCGATGCAACCGGCCTCACTGAGAGTTCATCAACACGAATATGTACAATTTGCCACCCTGATAAAGAAATTGAAAACAACAACAATAAAAACCTATAAAAAATACCGTGAACAATTTCTCAATCGTTCATAGAAGTATCTAAATTTACACAACGAAATAACCATGAAATCATTTGCTGATATTCAGCTCGTCTCATTTACCGTGAACTTGATTTCCTTGGGACACTTTGTCGTGTTGGTGCAGGCATAAAAGCTGTGCCTATACTTTCAAAAAAAGTTAAGAGATCGTAAGTTCATCAGCCAATCATTGACGGCCTTTCAAGCAAAATCCACCAATCATAGACAAGAAAATAGAACGTAAGTACTTACGTTCACTTAGCGAATTTTGAAAGTATGGCCCTGCAAAACTTTACCTTCGCTTACGCACAGGAGAGGTTCTGCTCGCTTGAGGAGTGGTTCTGCTCGACTGAATAAACTATTCATGATATTTGAATAATCATACTCAACCGTAATCATTTCTCTGTACGATGGAGTTTACATCTCTGTAATTATAAGCAAATCGTTTTGCATTTTATGTACTCAAATTTACGTTTTGCATGAGAATCGCAATTAGCCCCTAGGTATGGAGGCAAAATGATGAACGGTATAATACCTGCGCAGTACGGTATAATACCAGCGCGGTACGGTATAATACCTGCGCGGTACGGTATAATACCTGCGCGGTACGGTATAATACCATTAAGCATATTACGCAGATTTGGCCTACCGGGCAATTGACTTCCAAAAGAAGCTGGTAAATAGAAGCAAAACACCCTACGTGGCCGACTTGCTCCTGATTCACCCCTAAGCCGAATATAGTTCCTCTAAAACGACCTTAATCGGCACGAAAATTTTGACAGGGTTAATGCCTGCGCGGTAACTGCCGAGTGAATTGTGATTAAGCACTTCTATGAATCAGGAAAATCCGAGGCTATGGAACTATAGCGTTCGACAAATTCAAATCAGTTATACTGTATAGCGAAAAAAAACATAATATTCAGCTCAATGCACGATGAATGGAAAGCTATAAGGATCTATTGTCAAATCTTCAATAAAGATGCTAGAAATCAAGAAGAGAACGTGAAAGTACCGTCTCTACATCTTAAAATTACGAATTTATTTATTGATTCATTTCAATCAATATTCCACAAAGAATAAATCAAGAGGCGAATAAAAAAATGTTAACAAATGAATAAATCGTTAGTTGATTATTTGTTGACGACGGCAAAAAAAAATTTGTTCATTTGCAAGGTAGCGCGTCTTTAAATGCACAATTTCATATGTAAAAATTCCAGAACAAAAGTCACCACCTTCTTGATAACGTGAATATGAAACTGGTTTAATAATATTTTGAATATATTAAAAACTGAAAAAGGCGAGAAAAAAATAATCTGAGAAAAATCGATGAACACGTCATTTTTTTCATATAATTTAACCATCATATTAATCCTCTAATATACTATACGAAAAATACCAATTTTCAATGCTCGTGTTCTTAAAAGTATGGTAAATGAACACTCGAAATAAAGGAAGGCAAAATTGTGCATCCTTCGCTGAAAAAATAAATACTTACACTTATATACGATTTCGAAAATGAACGCAGAAAAATAAATATTTAAACAATATGCTTTAGAATCGCCTAACCTACTCTAAAAACCAAATTGACCGATATAGGGGAGCAAGCATTCCAAAAAAACTTAACGAATAACAAGCAGCAATAGGCAAGCAAGAAAAACCAACTCGATTTTATTAATCATTCAACTTTAAATATCTTTTTTAGGGCAATAAACAAGGAATTTGATTCTTTCCTCTAAGTTATCAAATTAAATCGAGACCAGTACGGTCAGTAAGTTGAAGTTCTGGTGCAGTAGACTTTGATTTAATGATAGTTGAAGTAGAAATACAGTCAAACGGTCAAAGCTCTGGTGAATCGGACTTTAAGTTAATGAAAGTTGAAGTAGAAGTACAGTCAAACGGTCGAAGTTCTGGTGAAGCAGACTTTAGTCTAACCAGATTTGAAGTAGAAGTACTGTCAAACGGTCGAAGTTCTGGTGAATTGGACTTAAGTTAATGAGAGTTGAACTAGAAGTACAGTCTCACGGTCGAAGTTCTGGTGAAGCGGACTTTAATTTAACCAGAGTTGAAGTAGAAGTACAGTCAAACGGTCGAAGCTCTGGTGAAGCAGACTTTAATTTAACAAGAGTTGAAGTGGAAGTACAGTCAAACGGTCGAAGTTCTGGTGAAGCGGACTTTAATTTAACAAGAGTTGAAGTGGAAGTACAGTTAAACGGTCAAAGCCAGTCAAGTACAGCCAAATGGTGAAGCGGGCTCTGAAGATAATGATCAGGCAGGTGTCGCTAATTAGAGAACAATTAATTTCGAATGCTCAGATGCACGCTGCTTATAAAAGCGTGATTTTTTGTCGGCTAGTGCCACAATTTGAGAAACGATTCACTATCCCAGACGCATTTTACTATGAGGTAAGACTGGCATTGCAGTGGTTTCGTGTTTTTTTTTTTTTTTGCGTCACTTTAGCTTCAATTTGGTTATTTTCTGACTTTGTCTTTGTCTAATGTTGGCTTCATCCGTACTTTATTCTGGCTTCACATTAACTTTATTTTTAGCTTTTTTCTGGTTTGACTCTCGGACATCACACAATCTTCATTCTGGTTCCACCTTCGCTCTGCCTTCACTCGGGCTTTACTCCCACTTAGCTTAGGCTTCTCATTTTGCTTCTATATTTTGCTTCAATTTGTTTTTTTTTTCTGCGGCTGCAATGTGTATGCACTGAAATTTCTATTATTTTTCCCACTTGATTTCCCTCTTTGATGTTCACTTAGGCTCTTCGATTGCCTCAATAAGGCTTTACACTTGATTCTATCATGTATTTATATTGGTTTTGCACAATCTTCACGTAGGCTTCACTTTGAACACAGTTTTGACTAGTTAATTTTAATTATTCGTTTAATTTTGTATTTATTTTGTCTTGACGCCTCTGCGTGATAATCTATCGGGAGTAGCAGAAAGCTTGTCGTACGAGTCTTCGTACGACAATAAATTTTTAACGTGTACCTACGTACGGCAATTTTAACGTGTGTTCACAATCCTGCTACTTCTAAACATTATCCCGTTCTGAAATAATATTCTTGTGTGAAAATATTGAGGCATGGCAGAAAGAATGGAGGAACGATGAATTAAAATGTTTTTATGTAATTTATTAAATCTCGTACTTGTAAATTACAAATTACAATTATGAACTAGGAGATAGCAGATAACATTTCCACGCCGATCGAAGGTTCAAACGGGTTTTTATTCAACAATTATAAGTTTGGGTCTCAATTATTACCTTTTCTGGCTGGGTAAGATGATAAAATTTTGGATACAAAGATTCTTAAGTTGTAGAGAATAACTTTCCCAGGCATTACCTGACCATAACTTATTTATAGTTTTGATGATCATTTGTTATATCTGAATATTATAAGCATACATTGAAGTATATAGGGTTAATATTTTTATGTTTGTTCTTAAAGATACAATTTTTCATTCAATAAAAAGGAAATTTGTTGTCGGAACTGTGGTTATCCTAAAACCTGAACGCGGACTTACGGCAACCCAAACTCAAAAACGGAAAGCGTTTTTACATGAACTTTTCAATTGTTCTGCTCATGCAGTATGATGAAGTTTGTGCTTGTTTTTTAATTGTTATTCTCACGTCTTGCTCACGAAAACACAATTGAACTTTTCACTTGTTTTGCTCATGCAGGATGATGAAGTTTGTGCTTCTTTTTCAATTGTTATTCTCACGTTTTGCTCACGAAAAAAACAATTGAACTTTTCACTTGTTTTGCTCATGCAGGATGATGAAGTTTGTGCTTGTTTTTCAATTGTTTTTCTCACGTTTTGCTTCTCTGGCAAAAAAAAAACAATTCATTTTTTCAATTATTCTGCCCACGCAGGATGATGAAGTTTGCACTCTGGGCGAGTTCCCAACTAAAGCGATTTTTTNAAGACCGATGGTTGTTCTGGCCAGACCCTGTCCCTGTAGACTACACTAAATACACTAGCAACTTCACCATTCAATACAAAAAGTAAGTGAAAAGCAATTCATTTTTGCAATCAATGTTGTGTATTTGATCTATGATTTTTTCTTAACGTCGCTGTTTTGAATGCTTCAATGAAATTTGGGTCAGAAAAGTAAAAAGTCAACAGGGTAAGTAAATAAAATAAAAAATTTTACTGATGGGTGTTTTTTTAAGTTAGCATCTGAAAATGAGCAGAATGGCAGTTCGATTATCCTAAGTTCAAAGGCTCAGACGAATTTTCGACCCAAGTGTTTCCAAAGGGTTTTTATTCAGAGTCTTTGCGACAACACGTATAGTTTATGCAAGTTTAATACAAAATTTTAGCAATTATTCCAACAGATTAAACATTTATTGGCTCAGAATTCCATAATGTAAACATAACAACGCAATATGTAAGCAAGACTATTCAACAACACTAACTTACTAAGTTACTGGAATAATTCGCTCCTAAAGAAGGTGTGAACTGAATGAAAGATTTGGACAGTCGGGTGAACTTCGGCACTAAGAAAAGGCAACTGAAGGCCGAAATTAAAATTTTGCAAGAAGCATATCTATTAAATTGCGATAACAATTATATTTTGTTCATACATGGTAAGATTTTGAACTGCACGGTGTTTCATTCGTACTTAGAAGCGACCGATGTCACCTGCAGTATCGTTTTTGCGACTTAAAGACTAGGATGGATCTTTCTTCAAACATGAAACTTATTAATTATTTTTATCCGTTTAAAAATTATTCATGAAATGTTTAACAAAAAAAATAAATGCTGTACAACACTGCCAGAATATGTTTCTGATTATTGCGTAAAGACGAATCAGTGTTTTCATATATTCACAGTATATACGAGACTACCCTAATGAACGAACATCTTTGTAATTATATCAAGCTTATAGCTACTTTCTTCATGGTTTCTATATGCAAATGTTAGAAGACTTAGCTAATGGTCCAATCGAAAGAGTGCCCGAGTGGTTAGCAGTAAGAACGGTCGCTTGAACATAGGAGCCCTTCTTAAATTCTAATACTCAATGATTCTGGACTGGTATAATCATGGGCCCTATGTTGCAATATTACGAGTCTACGCCGTAGAAATTGTGTTCACAGGCTGAGTTATGTTCCCTTGTCCTAAATACGCGATAAATTAGAAGAAAGTATAATGTATTTATGCTGGCTTCTGGTGTTACATGAATTACTTTTAGAATGTTTCGCGCTGCCAAACAGAGTTTAATAAAATATCAGATGCTACCCATTGAACTGAGCTGTTGGATTTACTCGTCTGACTTGGCTGCTCCGTGACGCGAACTCCGTTTATAAATGATGAGTACAATATTTTATGGTCAATCAGTAGTTCATTCTAACGGTCATGTCTTAATTAATCTATATATCTAATTTCAAATTTTTGAGGTTCATTTTTCCGCAGCGAAGAGACCATCGAACTAATGCAAGATATTTTTTTACCTACAGTACTACTGATGCAGACTTTAATAGGATTGCCAACTACACCATCAGCTCGACCGCCCCATTAGCCTTGACCATAACCGGCCCTCCTAAAGACTGTGAGTCGACACCTCATACTCATCTACTTGTGAAAATTTATTGTGATTGAATTAAATTAAATCTTGACCATAACCGGCCCTACTAAAGACTGTGAGTCGTCACCCCATACTCATCTACTTGTAAAAATTTATTGTGATTAAATTAAATTAAATCTTGACCATAACCGGTCCTACTAAAGACTGTGAGTAACCACTTCATTACTCATCTACGTGTGAAAATTTATTGTGATTAAATTAAATTAAATCTTGACCATAACCGGCCCTCCTAAAGACTGTCTGTGAGTCGCCACCTCATAGTAATCTACTTGTGAGGATTTATTGATTAAATTTATTTATTAATCTTTAATTAAATTAAATTAAAGATTAAAGCTTATTTTAGAGTAATATTTTTCATGAAGTTTGCAATTCTTCTTGGCATGGGACGAAAATAAAGGAAAATTAATATTATTGTTACATGACAAGATGTCATGTAGCTGCTTGTTCATTTGTAGGTAAATGATGTTATCTCGTGGGGATCCATTTATTAAACTTTCCTCCGTGCGGGAAATTTTCTAGATACATCGTTATTTTTAATTCTAGTTTGATTTTAATCTCGTGTCGACATAAATTCATTTTTAGAGACATTCTGTTTACAAAAACTTTGAATACTCGCAACATAAGAAAAACGATGTTTCTTATTATTCTTATGACCGTTGTTACTGTTAACCGTTTTTACTGAACTAATCGAGACACGTTTGAATCAGCCATGTTTATTTTTTTTACCACGAACCTTTTTCCATTAAAATGCAACAATAACTATACTGTATTCTGTAGAGTCTATTGATAATGCCTGACTTGATTAGTATTCAGATTTTCCGTCACTGTTTAATCAAGTTAATATTATGAGGGAAGTGATGAATATATATGTAACATAATATATTAAAATGCTATTAACAATACTTGTCACCTGAAAGTTATTTTCATTAATATATTATATTAATAATAATAACTATATTAATTTAATATTATATAATAAAAATAATAATAATTATATTAATATTAATATAATAATATATTAACCTGCAGTGTTCAGCGTGGGCAAAGACTACGATCAGGTGAAGCTTTTCTTATCGGACATCACTGATAACTACGCGGTCTTCCAGCGATGCATGGATGACACCATAATTGGACATTACTGTGAGTGTTGCGGGATTGACAACATTTCCTCATTAATTTCCAAATTTTATAATAATTAAACTCGCATATATTTTGAATCGAAACTAGGGAAGAGTGCTGTGCCACTAGGGAAGGGTGCCACTAGGGAAGGGTGTCGTGCCACTAGGGAAGGGTGCCGTGCCACTAGGGAAGGGTGCCGTGCCACTGGGGAAGGGTGCCGTGCCACTAGGGAAGGGTGCCGTGCCACTGGGGAAGGGCGCGGTGCCACTAGGGAAGGGTGCCGTGCCACTAGGGAAGTGATTGAAAAACAGAAAGTGGCCAGTCAGAGGAAGAAGATAAGTAAAGGATGTGAAGTGTTGGAAGTCTAGTAGCTACTTCAAACTATCGTCAGTCATGAAAAGATCCGGGCAAATAACACGATATTAGATCTTCTGTGAACAAGGCACGAAAAGGAAAAGAATCGGCGATATGCCACATCAGGCCTACACTTCAGCGCCGACATCACTATGTTATGTTATGTCACTTTTCGGGAACATAAAAAACTTTCAACTTAAATTATACGTAGACTATTGAGTGTAGCAACCTGTTTACGTTTGTACGCAAAAGAGAACATTTCAAAGTTGTCGTACGTGGCGGCAACCATCAGTGCAAGTCATTTTGCGCTCACTGGTATCCAGTTCCACCGGCTAGGAATATGGGTACCAGTCTCCTTTCCGGCTAGGCTTGTGTGACAATATTGCTCTGGTTACTCATTCATGTCAGGTAGAGGGTTAATATATTTACAATACTTTACGTTGAGAGAGCTGGGTCTATACTTTCAAAAAAAGTAAAGAGATCGTAAGTTCATCAGCCAATCTTTGACAGCCTTTCAAGCTAAATCCACCAATCATAGACAAGAAAATAGAGCGTAAGTACTTACGTTCACTTAGCGAGTTTTGAAAGTATGGCTCCAGGTCTGGTTATTTTGGTGGCCAAATGCGATGCTCAACTTTATTAGAATGTTGGATTGGTTTGCCATTTATAAGTTATAGTTTAAGTTATCGACACAAAAATTTACTAAAATAATTTGTGCAAGGATAAAATATCAATTACAACAATAAATAATACAACATAAAAATATGTCACGTTTTCATTGTTAAAATGTTCAAAAATTATTCTATCAAAATGCCAGGTGTTTCCCTTAATTTGTCCAACCCCGGTAATGTTTAAGGCTTTTTAATTGTTATGCAGATACAACAATATAGTTACGGAAACCACCTGCAAAAAAGTATCGCGTTAATGTAGGTAATTTTTAATTTCATTGGTGACAGATTTCGTTTTTCAGTGTTAACTTCGTGTATGTTTTAAGTGAGAAGTCTAAATTTTACTGTAATCTTATGGTTGTTTTCATGGAGGACCGATGGCTCTTCTGGCCGGACCCTGTCCCAGTGACTCCGGACTACACTAAATACAGCAACAACTTTACGATCTCCTACCGCAAGTAAGGCGCCTAAATCCAAAATCTCTTATGTGCACAAAAATGGCATGAATATGGATATTATCATGGTTCTCATATTCCAATATTACGGGCTAGCGAATGGTCTGATCATGATGATATAATTTTGAAAGTTATTCTGCACTATTATTGCTTAGAAATTATTTCAAGATTGTTGTCGTAATCACGAGTAAATTTTTGTGAAAATCACCTTGGTTGATGAATCTTGTTGGACATCTAATTTAGAAATTTTGATATCTAGGGGCATCAGCATCATGAATAGTTACGAGTTTATCTCTCTGTCAGCGAATCTTTGATGTCTTTTCCAGTTGATACCGCCAATCATAGGCAAGAAATCGGCCGCTACGTGTACTTAGGCCACTACGTATGCTTAGGCCGCTACGTGTACTCAGGCCACTGCGTATACTTAGGCCGCTACATGCACTTGGGCCATTACATATACATACTTTGGCCACTACGAGTACTTAAGCCGCTATGTGTACCTAGGCCGCTACGTGTATTTAGACCGCTACGTGTATTAGACCGCTACGTGTATTTAGGCTGCTACGTGCACATACTTGGATCAAGATTGATTGAAGACCAGAGCATGCTTTTTATTAACTCTATTAAAATGTCATTCGGAAACCTGCTTTTCGATCTCTCGGCTCCAGCTAGAAATTTGGTTCGACTCATTGAAAAGACGAACAAGAAGATTGTTAATAAAAAGCATGCTCTGGTCTTCAATCAAACTTGCGTAAAAGAGAAGCTTCTGCCGAACTACACCAATACTTGGATCACTACATGTACGTAAGTCGCTACTTGTACTTAGGCCGCAGAGTGTACTTAGACCACCAAGTGTACTACTCGTTTAAGCTTAAACGAGTTTTGAGAAAAAGGCTCCAGCTACCTATAGCAACGGGATCATCAAGACTTATGCTAAATCTTTGTTCGCAAACAGCGGAACTGCAACGACGGCTACAAATAGGATCGCTAACTACACTCTTACCACAAAAACAAAGTACATTCAATCCTGTATCCTGATGATTACTATATACTTAATACTTGACTTCGATAAGATTTCATATTTTAACGACACTTTGAACCAAAATAAAGTACATACCATCCTGTATCCTGATGATTACTATTATACTTGATACTTAACTTCGATTAGATTTCATGTGTTGATGACACTTTGAAGAGTCCTATACCTAATACTTAACTTCGTTTAGAGTTCATGTGTTGATGACACTTTGAACCAAAATAAAGTACATACTATCCTGTATCCTGATGATTACTATATACCTAATACTTGACTTCGATAGGATTTCATGTGTTGATGCCACTTTGAAGAGTCCTATACCTAATACTTAACTTCGATTAGAGTTCATATTTTAACGACACTTTGAATGGAAACATTTCGTTACAATATTGATTTTCTGTACGCAGTGTTCAGTGTGGCGAAAGACTACGATCAGGTGAAGCTTTACTTATCGGATATCAACGATTACTACGCTGTCTTCCAGCGGTGCATGGATGACACCTTCATTGGCCATTACTGTAAGTCTTACGAAGTTGCCTGGATTCTTTCGATAAATAACTAAACGTAAATACAGTACGAGTAAAATCCGAAAATTTGTCTTCAGAATTTTTATTTTGTATCTATCTCGGTAATTTTTCAGTACACAATAAAATAAATTTTATTCATGGTAATTTCCACCTCTTCCTATCAATGGAAAACAGATGCTGATAATATATATAGAAATCATGGGATTATTCATAACTGATAGCGAGCTGCTTTCATGCAGACATTATCAAATTATCATGTCCGATGATTTAATAATCACGCTGATCAAATCTTCTTATTTATTCTTATAGGAGCCCTGGAAACTAGTCCATAAAGCCCCTTGCCTAAACTGGGTTTAATTGGTACCTACCTAACAATTTAATAGCTCTGAAAGTGAAAATCAGTAAAACTTGGTAAAGGGAACAGTGAAAATTCCTTTGCTGATCAAATGATCAAATTCATCAGAAACATATATTTTCTTTTTCATTGCAGACCATGGCTACATGTTCCTCAAGCAGGGTGTCGACGCGAGAGTCTACGACTCAAGCTGTGTTGCTGCTGCCTTGACGACACTCACCTCCCTCACTGGGTGGAAAACTGCGAACTGGTGCGCTTAGGGCGGCCATCAGACCGCCCCACCCTGTGAAAATTTACAGACGCGGCAGCTTCTGATTCGGATTATCAGAAGCTGGGGCGCATAGTGGATTCGGATTATCAGAAGCTGGGGCGCATAGTGGCAAAGCAGAGAATTTTTTTAGACCTCTGACCCGAGTTTATTTTTGAGTCCTATAGGTAGACCAGTATAAAGTATCATGGATACCAACTTTATCATACTTAAAAATAGGCTTTAAATCTTGAGTAAATGAAGAAATTAAAAATGGACTGATTCTAAAAAATCTCAGCTTTGCCACTATGCTGGGGCGACTCTAAATATTGTTAGGGTAACTCCAATAATCTCGAGTTGACGAAATTGTACCTGTGGAGTGGGAATACCGGTAAAAAAGAGAGGAAACAAAATGAGGTAGGTAGGTAGGTAGGCCAGACTTGAGAGAAAAAAATTAAGTCAGTAGGTACTCACTGCAGTGAGTGACAGAGAGCGCATTTTTTCGTGCATAAATCAGTTTTCATTGCAATTAGTACAGTGCACTGCAATCAGTACATGTCACGGACGAAAACGTGAAGTCACGGACGGACGAACGAACGAATGGACTGACGAGCACAATAGCGCCTTTTTTCCAAAAATGAGATAATGCGCTAAAGAAAGGACATGAGGTTAAAATATTGACTCATAACTAGGTTAACTTTAGGTGTGCGGGGTTAGAGAATTGACCCGCAGGCAACCGCAGTTACAGTATAACCTTGAGAACAACCGGGGTTATTGGGGTTAGTGGCTATTTATTGGCTGCTGATTTGATGGTATCATTGATACCAACGAGTGTAAAATTACAACAGGATCAGGATTGACCAAACACAGGCAGTTCATCAGTCAATAACATTTTTGGCTCTTTTTTGTCTTGGCATACTACTTTCTTTGGATGAAGACAAAACAAATATTTTGTTTTTTACTGATATTTATCACCTCTATAATAATTTTTTCCTATTCTAAATTTTTTCCTGCAAAGTTCATAGAAAATTTTTGGATATGAAAAATATTGGATTCTGGAAGCACGCTTAACAAATTCTCGGAGAAGCGAAATAACAAGTATTGTGTTTTTGATTTATATTTATCACCTTTATAAAAATTTGGTTTGGCCCTATTCCAAATTTTTCCTGTAAAGTTAATAGGAAATTCTTTGAAATGAAAAACATTGGGTTCTGAAAGCACGCTTAACAAATTCTCATTAAAGCGATTTGTTTTTACCATTTTTTCAATCTCTTGAATAAGCATTTACTCCAAAAATTTACCTCAACAAACCATATTAGCGCCATGAACGAAAGTAAAACATTTTGTGCTCGTTGAGAAGGACTTCGCATCGT